TAGATACAACAGTCACATGATCGGTTGCCATTTTTTTTTTTTTTTTTCAAAAGTGCTAAACTTTATATGTATCAGTGAATACAAACCTATATTGGAGACATGTGATAGTCTAAAATTTAAATTAAAAACAAGGTTTTACACTCACAATACCTTGCATATTATTTAAATAGAACAGTCACGTATATAAGTCACATTGTATAAATATGTACTTCATGCACAAAATAATTATAGAAGATAATAAAATATAAGAAATATATTATAAAAAAATTAATTATAAAAAATAAAAAATTATAAAAAATATTAAAAATAATTTTTTATAATTTTTTATAATTTTTTATAATTAATTTTTTATAATATATTTCTTATATTTTATTATCTTCTATAATTATTTTGTGCATGAAGTACATATTTATACAATTATTTAAATAGAACAGTCACGTATATAAGTCACATTGTATAAATATGTACTTCATGCACAAAATAATTATAGAAGATAATAAAATATAAGAAATATATTATAAAAAAATTAATTATAAAAAATAAAAAATTATAAAAAATATTAAAAATAATTTTTTATAATTTTTTATAATTTTTTATAATTAATTTTTTATAATATATTTCTTATATTTTATTATCTTCTATAATTATTTTGTGCATGAAGTACATATTTATACAATGTGACTTATATACGTGACTGTTCTATTTAAATAATATGCAAGGTATTGTGAGTATAAAACCTTGTTTTTAATTTAAATTTTAGACTATCACATGTCTCCAATATAGGTTTGTATTCACTGATACATATAAAGTTTAGCACTTTTGAAAAAAAAAAAAAAAATGGCAACCGATCATGTGACTGTTGTATCTAAATAGAATATGTAAGGTATTGTGAGTTTAAAACCTCGTTTTTAATTTTAAACTATCACATGTTTCACATATAGGTATGTACTCACTTACACATATAAAATTTAGCACTTTTGAAAAAAAAAAAAATTATGACATCATTTTGGCGCCATTTTCTAATATGTTCACTGCCTATATAAACCTGCATGTAACAGGATGTACTTTCTGATCTCCACTTAATAAAGCCTAAGGGCGAAACGCGTTGTGGTTTTTTAAACTATATTGTTTTAAATAAAGGTATTTTGGCCACTTTCTTACTGTGAGTTAGCCATCTTACTTTTTATTACTATTATTATTTTACTTTTTTATTACTACCATCCTTTTATCCGGCACAGAAGTGTTTTTACTTTCCAGTGAGGATATTACTCCCAAGAATCCTAGGTGGGGATTATACCACTCAAGCTGTATTCATTGAACAGTCAGTCTGTTCAACTAAATGTGAGTAACCACTTGGTTTTTTATCTTCTCACCTCTGGCATTTTATACTTTGAGCACCATTGTTGTTCCTGCTTTTATTTCCACATATGGTTCCCTAATCAAGAAAGAATACTAAGACCTCACGTATCCCATAAGTGGGGATTATACCACTGTACGTTATCAACACTAGAGCTAAGTCCATAGCTCTTGAAAACGTGAGTAGGACCATATACTCTTTTATGGCTTCTACCCCTTTCGGGACATACTATACCATCAGTTGTTATTTTCTCATTTCATATGATGTACAAAGACGCATCTACACCACTCTGAAGAATCCCCCACTACAAAAGACTGTATTCACCTCTACAAAGATATTTGTTTGATTCATCTACCAGTCAGACTATTTATTCTGGACTTCTATTTGCTTATTATCTATCATATATATTGCATTCTAGTCTGCCTATTCTGTGCTCTTTTAATTTATGTGGTTTATAGTGGCGCTGCCTTCCTTTCTTTTTTCTGTACAATTTCTGTTGTAAGGCCTGTGAGGGAGCCCTACTTTTTAGGTGTGCTGCCACTTTTTACTTATTTATTATTGTTTCAGTTGTATTTTGTATATATAGAGAGCGCTGATCCCTTTCTTCTGTTCTAAAGAATGATCAAACTCAGACTGATTGCAGAATGAACAATAGTGCCCAGTGCACCCTAATTATTCTTCTTTCCATGGGATTTGGTTATTGAAATGGAAAAATCAATCAAAGTATTGATTATTTCTTTGTGTATCTACCCCTGGCCAAATCAGTGAAAGAATGCGTGCACGCTCCCTGAAGTAATTCACACCAGACACAGGTTCCAGGTTGTTGAATAACTTGAGGAAAAGTTTATTCAGAGGGGACGGCAGGTCCCTTTTAAAGCAAAATTACATCATAAGCATTGTCAGAGATAACATGGAATAATACATCATTATTGGTTAGGTGTTAAGTGGTTGCTCTAATGCTCTGCCTACTGAAGTGATGTCACCGGGGCCATGAGGGTCTCCCACGGTTTCCCGGCGCCATCTTGCTGCAAGAGGTAGTTAGTTGGTGTTAAGAAGGGAAGGGGGGGGGTGGAGGGGTTAGAAGCTTCTAGCAGCCATTTTGATTAAAACATGTGTGCTCAGCTTTAGATATAATATATCGTGGAATGAGTAAATAGACATTTTCACTAACTAGGAAATATGTGCAGACCTTATTTCAACAACAGTCCCCCCTAAAATGGCTATTTACCATAACAACTGCTACTGTCCCTAATATGTCCCTAGCTGCCTTAACAAGCATCGAACACTTCACTCCGTGGGTAACCCGCAGCGGCTAGTCCACCACATCTCCACACGTGAGACTCGCCTGCCAAGACAGACGCTTTCCCTACACTGTCCCTACAGGAGAGCAGTTGTCTGTTTGAACTGGTGTGATTGGAGGGGTGTATGTGGAGTGTCATCTTTGAGGTCTGTGATGTCTTGATGCAGGAAAGTAGGGGTCACGTCATCTATAGTCTTATCTACCGCTTTCTGTAAGTATTTCTGTATGCAAGGGAGCACGCAACAGGTTAAAAATAAGAATATGATAATCATTATAAGAACAGCTGTCCCTACCTGGAAGAGAGTCCTTTGCCAATCATTCATCCACCCAAACCATCTGTCCCAAGTGTCAGTGACTCCTGAATTTTTCTTTAGTTCATCAGAAAGGCTATCTAGCTTTTCTATGGCCGTAGTCACCTTACCATTTGGCCCAGTGTTGTCTGGAATGTATGTGCAACATGTCATAGTCTCAGGGAGGATCTTACATACTCCTCCTTTCTCAGCTAAAATCATATCTAGGGCCATTCTGTTCTGAAATGTCATTTGAGTAGTGGCTTGAAACTGTTCTGCTAGGCCCTGCAGGGCATCCCTTGTGTAGTTAACGAAGCGCTGCTGATTATAATAGATGTAGTTGATCCAATTGACATTTTTGTTAGCAGTTATCATTGGAATTAGGGATTCAAATCCTGCAGCCACTTCATCTCTTGCTTTGAATTCGTTAGGCACCCCCCTTGGCACACCTATGGCATCAATATACACATGGGGGTCGAAGCTCCCTCGGATAGGAGCCTCTCGTTTGGTTCTAGAGTGTACATGTGTAAGGTTTAACGTGTTATGACTATCATCTGGAATAATGTGGATAGGCATTATGACTTTGGTTAGGGCACACTTCCCCCACCATTGCCCAGCTAATTGGGACCTCAATTGTTTGTCACCACATAACCAATAGATATCACCGATTGTCTTTGTGTGGTTCATTAGCAGTGATACAGGTGGATTATGGTAAGTTGAGCAGTATCCTGATGGGAATTTGCCCAGATACAAACCAGCGTTCTTAGGTATTGCATAACATGTGTAATTACCTGGGTAGACGGTGACTCCATCAGGTGGTTTTACATGTCCATGAGTGATTGGGTAAATTCTCTTCCATGATTCACACATTGAGGAGTTGGTGGTGGATTGTGCATAAAGACTCAAAACACATAATTCTACTTCGAGGGGTAAGCTCAGAGGTACTGTACCCAGATGGGGGCTGGCTCCTCCACATACATAACAGTTAGTTTTATTAGGTGAGTTAGCATTATACCTCATCCATTCTAGCCACAAATTAGTGTCTGAAAACCCAGTCTCTACTGCCATGGTATCTTCAAAGGTGGGGTTGGCTATAGCTACCATGTCATGTAGGGTCTTAATATGTGGCTTTAATGGGTTAATGATCATGTGAGTGGTCCCTACCCAGTCTGGGGAGGTGAGCATGTCTTGTAGGTAAAATGTCCCCAATGCATTATGTGAGCCACCTCCCTTCCAATACATTCCCATCACATATTCCCCTGCATCCCTTGGGCTGGGGTGTTCTATATTCAGGGTAAGTTTAATGGGAGTTGACCCTAGGGGTTTACTCAGAGTCATTCTAGAAAGTAGGGGTTTCCCATCTTTGTCACGTCTGTCCAGTGCAACTTGAGGTCTGTAGCCCCATGGTCTACCTGTATTCCACCCAGCAGCTTTCCATGAACTACAATGGTGTCCCCAAACTCCTCCAGTCACACAAATGTATGGATCCTTTTTGTCTTTGTATATGGCTGCATATTTTGTTTGTGGAAATGTACAAGTAACTATGTCACAGTAATCAAAGGTGTATGTGGCTACATCAGTATTAGAAGAATTGTACCAGAAAGTGTAAACGTGATTATCTTTGGTTATGGCCACTTGTTGGGCCCAGGCAAAGTGTAGCAGCATAAGAAAACACAAGACACATAATAAATTCATATTTCAACAGGATCAGCTTCTTCTGGAGCAGGCACTTTTTTGCAGTGTGAAGCGTGTATCCAAGAACTCTTTCCAGCTAGTTTAACTGACGTTGCTGTAATCAGGAGCACTTGGTAAGGACCATCAAATCTTGGTTCTAGGGTGTGTTTTCTGAGAAACTTCTTGACCATAACCCAGTCACCCGGAAGCAGCTTGTGTGTACCTGTATTCGACTCAGGATCTGGAATAGAAGAAAACACTTGGGCATGTATCTTGGTCAAGGCATGTGAGAGGGCAGTCACATAGTCTACCATAGCATCTGACTGAATCTGAAGCTGTTGGGGAAAGTAGCAACCTAACCTGGGTGCTGTACCAACCAAAATCTCATAAGGTGACAAGCTATATTTTCCTCTGGGAGTGTACCTTACACCAAGTAACGCTAGTGGGATACTCTCGGGCCAGGGCATGTTAGTTTCTTGTGACATCTTAAGCATTCTGGCTTTCAAAGTGCCATTCATGCGTTCTACCTTACCGCTACTTTGTGGGTGGTATGGTGTGTGGAATGCAAGGGTCACCCCCAGTGCTGACCAGACTTCCCGTGTTAGCGAGGCAGTGAAGGAGGTCCCTTGGTCACTTTCAATTACTTCTGGAACTCCATAGCAGCAAACAATTTCTGTCAAAAGATACTTGGCTGTAGTCCTCGCGGTGAGATTAGTCACTGGGAAGGCCTCTGGCCATCCTGAAAACATGTCCACTATGACCAATGCATATTCATAACGTCCACTCTTTGGCATCTGAATGTGATCAATCTGGATCCTCTGGAAGGGGTATTGTGGTTTAGCTAGGTGATTAGGTGCTGTCTTTATGATCTTTCCAGGATTGCATTTAGCACATATAGTACAAGATTTACAGTAATTCTGTGTTAAGGTAGTGATGCCTGGTGCTTCAAAATACTTGTCAATTAGTGAGTTCATCAGGAGTTTTGACAGGTGGGCTGGCCCATGGGCCCATTGGACCACCGCTGAGTACATACTTCTGGGTAAACAGAACTTGAGATTGATGGTGTAAACATCATCACGGAGTACAGCTCCTTTATTCTTCCAACTTTGTTTCTCCTGGGGAGTAGCAGCAGCTTGTTGTTCCTTCAGAAGCCTAAGATCTGTAGGCAATGTTTGCATAGTGTAGATGGGTAGTGTATCTGTGGCCAATCTTCTGTCCACTTCCCATCCTTGCCGTGCTGCTTCCTTAGCTGCCTGATCAGCTAAGTGGTTGCCACGTGCTTCCTCTGTGTCTAGTCTTCCGTGGGCTTTTACTTTCAGTACTGCCACCTCTGCTGGGAGTTCCAATGCATCCATCAGTTCTGCAATAGCTGCCCCATGCTTTACTGGGGTACCGGTAGCCGTAAGAAATCCTCTGGTCTTCCAAATTAAGCCAAAATCGTGTGCTACTCCCAGGGCATATCTTGAATCCGTGTAAATATTGACACGTAGACCTTCAGACAATTTGCAGGCCACAGTCAGGGCTGTTAGCTCGGCTTCTTGAGCAGACTTAGCTGGTTGTAGGGCAGCTGCTTGTAATACTTGACATCCTGTGGTGACTGCATACCCAGTGTGATATTGTCCCTGTTCATCAGCAAATCTTGACCCATCCACAAATAGTGTTTGATCCGGGTTGAGTAATGCAGCTTCATAGACAGTTGGTAGGTGTGTAGTTTCCATTTTCATTTGTTCAAAACAATCATGAGGAATATCTAGGTCACAGTCTGTGGTGAGTGGATCTTCACAGGCTTCTGTGTGGTACCTTGGGTACCCTTCTGTACAGTAGTTAATAGTCTTTTTGTTGATCCCCGTAGAAGTCAGTTGTTCTTGGGTCATTTGGCTCCAGGTTTTGGCCATCGGGCCTAGGTCTTTCCATGAGGTGTCGGGGGATCTGGTGAGAGATATGTGTGGGATAGCTGTTTCCCAATGATGATAGAGATGTGTTACATTCTCTGGAAGATGGACTAAGATGAGCATGGTACCTGTGGGGTCCCAGAATAAGTCAGTCAGGGTAATTTGAATTTCTTTAAGCTGGAATAATTCTTCCTCATAGTTCATATCAGAGCCTGGTACGTCCTTAAACCACAAGGTACAGTGAAGTAGGGCCTCTGATTGTTCATCATGTGGAGGTGCAAGTGCAGGCAGCTGCAAATCTGCTCGGACCTCTGGGTTGATATCCAGGCTATACCAGTAATGCACAACTCCCCCCTTGGGAAGTGGCAGAAGAGTGGCTGGGTTCAGGGAAAGACATCTCTGGAGTTTCACATTGTCAGGTAGAAGTAAGGAGGTTTGCAGACGGAGGTGACGTTGGGAGGAAAGGTGTTTAAGTTGAACTTGTTGCAGGATTGCAGTAATGTCATGAGGGGCCAACACTGTGAGGTGATGGCCAAGAACAAAATCATTTGTCTTGTCTAGGAGGGCGCTGGCGGCAAACACCGCTCTGAGGCAAGAGGGGCTACCCCTCGCAACAGGGTCAAGCATGCAGGAAAAATAGCCAATAGGGCGTTGCCGTGACCCATGTTTCTGGGTAAGGACTCCGGAGGCATGTCCTGACTTTTCAGAGACAAACAAATTGAAAGGAAGTTGGTAGTTGGGTAGGCCCAAAGCAGGTGCAGAAGCAATAGCTCTTTTCGGATTGTGGAAGCAGGTGATTGTTTCTTCAGTGAGGTGAAAGGGCTCACTCCTGAGGGCATCGTAGAGTGGCTGCATGAGCTTTGATGCTTTGGATATCCAGGACCTGCAATATGTGATAAGACCCAAAAGGGCATGAAGAGTCTGATGTGTCGCAGGTAAAGGGAGTTGCAGAATAGCTTGCACACGTTGAGAAGTTAGATGTTTGGTGCCATGGGAAAGGCAATGTCCCAAGATGACCACAGAGGGCCGGCACCATTGTAGCTTCGATTTTGAAGCTTTGCAACCGGCTGCAGCGAGGAAGCATAGGAGATCTTCTGAGTCACGCTCTGCAGTGGGCAAATCAGGAGCACAGAGAAGGAGATCATCAACATATTGAAGCAGGACAACATCCAAATGAGATTTCTGCCAGGGATCCAGAACCAGGGACATGGCATGAGCAAACTGTGTGGGGGAATTCTGAGCCCCCTGAGGCATAACAGTCCAGGTATATTGTTGTCCTTCATGAGTGAAGGCGAAGAGAAAGCGGCAGGAAGGGTCAAGGGGGACACTGAAAAAGGCATTAGCTAGATCCACTACAGTGAATATTGTGGAAGTTGGTGGGACTTGGGACAAGAGGGTGTGAGGGTTTGGAACAATAGCAGTGTCTTTTATGGTTACTTTATTAACAGCACGGAGGTCCTGCACCATGCGGTACTGGTCGGGTTGACCCTTAACAGTTCGCTTTTTAACAGGGAAAAGTGGTGTGTTACATGGAGATGTGCACTTGATGAGGGCACCTTTGGCAAGGAGGCTTTCAACTTGTTTGGTAATGGCTTCAGCTTGTGCTGGCTGCAGAGGATACTGTGGTCTACGAGGAGGTAGTGCTCCAGGCAGGAGCTGGACCAAAACTGGGGGTACATGTAAGCGCCCTATATCATCCGGGCCGGTGGACCAAAGTTCTTGGGGGATACGATCCAGAGCACTGGGGGTGTGTGAGACCCGTGCATTCCCTGTATTGTCAGTTAGGTTCAACAAGATGGGGAGTGAGCAGAGGACAGAGGTATCTTTTTGTGATAAGGGGGTTGTCAACTCAACTTGACCATCTGCAGTAAAGGTAATAGAAGCCTGGAGCCGAGAGAGAACATCGGCACCTAGGAGGTTAATGGGGCAAGTAGAGGAAACAACAAACCGGGAGAGGATGTGTGATCCTACGTGTAGGAGCTTAGTAAGGGGGTTACTGCGTGGTGTACCATCCACCCCAACACAGGAGACATCGGTGTCAGATAAGAAGGAAGGGTCTGGCAGGTCTTGTTCCCTAAGGACACTACGGGCTGCACCTGTGTCAACTAGAAAGGTGGTTGGGTGACCCTCCACGGGGAGAACTACAGTAGCCAAAGGCCCTCCCCCATCCCCCGCAGACACTGCCATGGCAGGGGTTGCTGACACAGGCTTGCCAGTTACCTATTGTAATAAATCTAGATGGGCCTGGTCTGGTCCCTGGTACCGGCGGGAAGTGGAGGGAGGGTTAGTAGAATGCATGGGAGGACGGGATGGACGGATGGCGTGGCGGGGCTGTGGCTGGCTGTCTTGGAAATCATCGTTGTCATACCCTTCAGCAGAGGGCGAAGCGTATGCACGAGCTTCTGATGCAGGGAGCCGGGCTTGGGTGTATTCAGGAGGAGGAGGAGGTGGAGGAAGCTGTGGCAACTGTGGATGGGGCAGGGCAGGGAGGTAACCAGTGGAGGGGAAGTTATAGCCGGTGACATGGGGACTTGGGTACCGGGGAGCCTGTTGGCGGAACACTCTAGGGTGTGGGCAATCTCTTCTAAAGTGACCTGGCTGATTACAATTAAAACAGGTCCGGATTGTCGTGATAGTCCGGTCCCGGGAGAAGGGAATTGGTGCAGGCAGAGTCTGGGGTGACTGAGTGTACTGTTGGGGGAGTAACTGAGGAGCTTGGTTAGAACCTGCAATTGGGGTGGAGGTAGTGTACATCAGAGGACTGGTTCTTCGCTGTGTGGGTTGCAAAACAGATTCTAAGCCTTTGGCTACCAACAAAAGAGTGTCCAGTGGAATAATTCTATACTCAGGGCGAGCTAAAATTAACCCCTTACGAATGTGCTCCCTAAGACCTGCCACAAAAGCTGCAGATAGCATCTGGGTGTGTGCCTTGTTATAGGTGCTGAATCCTAAGTCTGAAAAAGTCTGAGTCAACCTAGAGTGATACTTTTCAACTGTCTCAAGTTTATCCTGAATTATGTTATTTATGCAAGTAGCCTGATCAGCTAGTTTATCCTGTGCCCAGGCTCGAAGCTGTTCACAGAAAATTTCACCAGAACGAAAATCAGTATCAGAAGTAAGTGGAGCGTCGTTAAAGCTCCGTTCCATAATTGGCCAGTATGCATCTCCAGCCTTTATTTCACACAAACTAATAAGATCCCGCCAAGCAGCGGAGTATGTTTTACGGATCTGGGCCATCCTGCGAAAAAGGGCATGGGGTGTTTCTCAGGATCAGGGAGTGAGGTCACAAGGGTAGCAGCTTGGGAAGGGTTGAAGGTAACATACATGGGTGGTGCACCATCCGCTCCATGGTTAATCTGGGTATAACCCTGGGGATAGAGTGCCGTTGGGGGTGCCTGTTCCTCCCTAGGCGAGGTGAGCCCTGGTCCACCACAACGACCTCCTCGGGTACCACCGGGCCGCGGTGAAGAGTAGTCTCAGGGGTAGCTGTGGCGGGGGCGGCAGGGAGGCCGGTGATAGGAGAGGTAGTTGGGTGGAAACCTGAGGCCTGGGGGGAAGCACCCATCACATAGGGTTGGTCCGATGTCAGACACCTCGGACCCAACCACCATGATTGGATAACTAGGACTGGCGGAAGGGACATGAGGAATCAATGCCGTGGAAGGGGCTGTTATGGGGGCCGGTTGAGATGTGCGTGAGAGGTGAGTATTTAGGACATGAGCAAGAGCAGAGATTGGATCGGAAGGCTCGGGGATGCTAGCGGGAGACAAGGAAGGGGTCGGAGGTTCGGGGGGAGGAGGAGGAGGAGGGGGTGGTAAATCAGTGGGAGGCGGCACAGGGATCGCGGAATTAACCAGGGAGGTAACAGCAGAGAAGAGGGCGGATATCGAGCTAGACAGGTCATTGGCCGTGGATGGGTCAGGGGTCACCGGGGGAGGGGTCGGAGGGATGGGACCAGGGGGCTGTGTCGTAACAACGTGGGTGGAGGGTTGGGATGGCAAACCAGTCGGGGGAGGAGGAGACAACGAGGTAGAGGGGGCCGGGACTTCGGGAGGAGGAGGTAATACTGGGCATGTTTATGGTTGGAGGGGTGGTAACGGGGGGTTGGGTCAGGGCGGTGAGGGCAGAGATCAGGGACGGCAAATCGGCCGAGGGAGGAGGAGGCAACGAGGTAGAGGGGGCCGGGACTTCGGGAGGAGGAGGTAACACTGTGTGGATAGCGGGAGGGTCCTGGAGGATGGGAGGGGTGTCTGTGCATAAGGGAGCAGAGGCAAGGGGACCGGGATTAACGGGCATGAGAGTGGAGAGCAGGGATGAGGGATCCTTGGAGGAGAAGGGCGAAGGGGAATGAGAAAGAGGGAAGGGCAGAGAGGGTGAAGGGGTAGGGGTCACGGGACAGGTCAATTTCGAAAGGCTAGCGAGGAAAGGTCTGGGTCCGGGGGTATGGGTGAAGGAGGGTCCGTGGGGGGACAGGGGTCCGGAGGAACGGGGTCGGTAGAATGGGCAAGGGTCGGGGGAGTTGGGTGTGTAATAGACGAGGAGGGTGAGGGAGCGGGTGTTAATAGGGATGGGGTACTCGAGGTGGAGAGGGGATGAGAGGAGGGAGAGGAGGGAACTTCGGTGGGTGAGGCGGGAGTAGTCAGGACGGGATCTTGACGAGGATTCGGAGTGGGAACAGGCACTGGGAGAGGTAGCGGAGGACATGGAGGTGGGGGGACTTCAACAGACGTGACGGGAGAATGGTTGATGGAGGGGGCTGGGTCATAGGGGGGTTGGTGCATGGGAGTGGGTGGAAACGAGTGAAGTGGCACTGGGTAATAGTAAGCACCATCCGCACCGAGTACGGGGCACAGGGGGGTGGGAGCTGAAGGCACACCCCCGGGGGGTGGGGTTTGTGCTGTGACGGGGGAAGCAGGGCGGGAATTTACTGTTGCGCTCTGGGCGCCATCATAGGGCGGTGGTCGCGGGACAATGGAAACAACATCATCATTGTTAACACTCCTATGGTAAACATACACGATTTGCCCCTCAAACTCCAACTCTTCCTCGACCCATCCTTCCCGTTTCAGACCTCTAGCTACCCGATACCAAGCCTCTGCAACCTTTGTGAGTCCATTATCCAACAACAACCCTTCCTTGTCTATGAGTAACTTCCTCCAAAACTCAGGCTGCAATCTCCCACTGGGCAACATCTGGAAGCCACACACCTTAGCAATCTTTTTAAGTTTCAACATTGCATCTTCCCCTGCCCTTTCTTTCACAATGTCACAAGCCAGCAAGCCCTTAGCAGGTCTAGCGTGTTCCTGTCCCATTTTGAGTAAACGAAGCGTGCCACGCGCTAAAGACAGATAAATAGAGGAGGTACAAGGGAAAAAGAATGTCTACAGTGCTCGACTGCCACGAGAACTTGAGCCCCGTGCGTCTTCCCCCAAACATAGACCAGTCACGGAGATCCGCCCACCCGGGGTGGTGGTAACGGACGGGAGCGAATGAGCGTGGGTGACTAACACAGCTCTGGGCAACAGGCACAGGAGAGATAAAGAACAAAGGAGAAAATGAACGTGGCTGCGCTAATGAGAAGACATTTGCAAAAATCACAAACATATAAATGAGCGTAAACTCCGGAATCCAGAACTAACCACACAATACACACACACACACCAAGGGTACCCACACTGTAACAACAATTAAACAGAAACCACAGAATGATAGAGAGTAAAATGGCCATGTACATGTTAACACCACTAATGCCAAATATTCAAAGTATAGCAATCCCCAGCCGTCACCCACCAGGCTGGTCCCGGTATAACACAGGTACCAATGAAAACACTGCAATCATCAAACAAAATTCCAGCCCCACCGGCTGTAACGCGTTCCCTGCCCGCTAGGCAGTCAAGCAAACATATAATCCCAGCCCCACCGGCTGTAATGTGTTCCCTGCCCGCTAGGCAATCAAGCTAACATAAAATCCCAGCCCCACCGGCTGTAATGCGTTCCCTGCCCGCTAGGCAGTCAAGCTAACATAAAATCCCAGCCCCACCGGCTGTAATGCGTTCCCTGCCCGCTAGGCAGTCAAGCTAACATAAAATCCCAGCCCCACCGGCTGTAATGCGTTCCCTGCCCGCTAGGCAGTCAAGCTAACATAAAATAGCAGCCCCACCGGCTGTAATGCGTTCCCTGCCCGCTAGGCAGTCAAGCTAACATAAAATCCCAGCCCCACCGGCTGTAATGCGTTCCCTGCCCGCTAGGCAGTCTAGCAAACATATAAAATGCGTTCCCTGCCCGCTAGGCAGTCAAACAAACATATAAAATGCGTTCCCTGCCCGCTAGGCAGTCAAGCAAACATATTTTAAAAGAAGGAGAGACACACACACATATAAATGAATACAGGAGGCAGATAGACAATCTACAGGTTCACTTTAAAAGGGCACACCGGATGAGTTAATTACCTGTCTCTAGTAGCCTTCTGGAAGCCGGAAGTGGACTCGGAGACAGACTGACACAAAACAGGAGAACAACACAGGCAACGGCTGTATTATGGAGGTGATCAGGCTCCGCTTGTCCCACTTTCTGGAGGTCCGCTCCGGTCCGTTGGTTCCGGCCCTCCGAACCGGCTCTCCGGTGGCCCCACGTTGGGCGCCAATTGAAATGGAAAAATCAATCAAAGTATTGATTATTTCTTTGTGTATCTGCCCCTGGCCAAATCAATGAAACAATGCGTGCACGCTCCCTGAAGTAATTCACACCAGACACAGGTTCCAGGTTGTTGAATAACTTGAGGAAAGTTTATTCAGAGGGGACGGCAGGTCCCTTTTAAAGCAAAATTACATCATAAGCATTGTCAGAGATAACATAGAATAATACATCAATTATTGGTTAGGTGTTAAGTGGTTGCTCTAATGCTCTGCCTACTGAAGTGATGTCACCGGGGCCATGAGGGTCTCCCACGGTTTCCCGGCGCCATCTTG